TCAGTGATATATGACCAGTAAGCCTATTATATAACATCACATTTTCAAGTAAATTCTTTTTTTTTTTTTCAATTTAGGCATAAATTTTCAGCTCATTTTTTGGCCTTTTTCTTTTTCAGCCAAAAGCCAAAGGCACTGGGGTCCATATTTCACCAAGGTCCACTCGCTTGAAAACTTCTGGCCTCGCCACTGCTGAATACAGTTATAAAAAAAAATTAAATTAAAAAAAAACCTTACTGAACAGAAAAATATGCAACTAAAACTAGACTTTCAAATTGTAGTATGTGCTACACTGTATTGTATTTTATTATATGACATCATTACAGTACGTGTTTCATAGTGACTGTAGGCTTAGTCCATTTATCATCTAGGAAATAAATACATGTTGAATATAAATACATTTACAGTCCAAAAGGAGGATTGTAAAATGTATTATAAAATGTCAGTTTGCAATATTTAGCTGTGCTGTCATAGGGGAGGATAGAGTCTGTAAGTAATGATATAAAAGAATACTCTTTACTTCTAACGAATTTAATGTGTATCAGCTCTATAAAAACGGGAGATTTACTAAAAATTACAAGTCATGCACTCACAAAACATGGGGTTTAATATCAGTTTTTAGATGCACCCCGTAATGGAATTTAAAAGCCTACATTACATCTCAATCTTTGACATTCAGACACAAGTTTTCCAAGAATAGATGACAGGATCATAGGATCAACAACTGAAAGTTTGTAATCATTAAAGAAAATTGTTTCAGAAATGACATACCACCCCATATCTACATAAACAGTGCATATAAATACATCTTAATGCCACTTCTGCAGTGCAAGGGTAAATTCTACACCAGTATAAAAGTGAACATTTCAGACAATAAAGAATGGGAGGTTATGTAAAGAATAATTTTTGTTAGTTATTTCGGCGTAGATTAGGCGTAGATTAAGGGGGATGCCGGGGGATGGGGATGCCCTGCCCCCCTCAACAGAGTCCACCTCAGCTGCCCACTTCTCCTCCTCTTGTGCCATTTCCTACACACAGCATAACTAATTCAATCACATGTGCTGAGTGACCATTTCAAATGTGTCACTTCTGAAAATCAATCAAAAAAGCCCATGAGTTCAGTGAACATACAGACTGATATTTTTAGCAGATTTAAAGGGGTCATATGATGCGTAGGGCTGGGCGATTTTCCCGATTTAATCGATTAATTCGAATTTATTGTTTTGCCACGATTTTATTTTTTAGAAATCCAGCGCTAGCGCCATTCACACAGAATGCGCTTTTGTGTTGACAAAGATGCGATGCGGGCAGTGGAATAGGTAAAACATGCAAGAAGATGGGAGTAAACTAATTTTAACTTGAGCGCAGTGTTTTTAGAATGGCATGAGCTCGCATCCATGAGACGCTGCAAGTAGGGTTGCCACCCGTCCCTTAAAATCCGGAATCGTCCCGTATTTAATGGTAAAATGATGCGTCCCGTATCAAATCAATACGGGACGCGATTTGTCCCGTATTTTACAAAGGCCAACACATATTTGCATAAACAAATAAGTATTTTGCACTGTTTATAATACTAATAGCAATTATAATGAAATCAGTTTCATAAGAAGTATTAGAGAAGCTAATTTGCGCGTGATTTTGACGTCTTAGTTTCCATAGCGATGGAGTCTCCAGAGTGCGCGCCGTTAAAGCCTTTTCACACGAGCGCAGCATGCGGTAAACAAACCTGCGCGGTTTAAAACATCTAGAGCTCACATCTGCCCTTTGAACACAATACTCTCCAGATGTAGGGCTGAAGGGGAAAATTATCAATGTGTCTGTCCAGTAAGTTACTAATGATGAACGCGCAGTTTGCAGAGAAGCATTTCAGTTTTTCACGGTGGACTGTCTGACTTAAAGGGACAGTTCACCCAAAAATGTTGTCATCGTTACACACCCACAAGTTGTTCCAAACCTGTAATAATTTCTTTCTTCGGTTGAACATAAAAGAAGACATTTTGAAGAATGTGGGTAACCAAACATTTTCTGGTCCCCAATGACATTTTTTCTCTACTATGGAAGTTACTGAGGACCAGCAGCTGTTTAGTTGCCCACATTCTTCAAAGTATCTTCTTTTGTGTTCAACAGAAGAAAGAACTTTATGCAGGTTTAGAGCAACCTGGGTAAATTATGACTTTATTTTTTATTTTTGTGTGAACCAAGTGACTCTGATAGTATTTTTTGTTTTACCTTACTATGGAAGTTACAACCAGCAGCTGTTTAGTTGAGACACATTCTTCAAGGTATCTTCTTTTGTGTTCAATAGAAGAAAGAACTTTATGCAGGTTTAGAGCAACCTGGGTAAATTATGACTTTATTTTTTATTTTTGTGTGAACCACACCTTTAAAGTGACAGACACATCCATGCTTCTAAAGGTATCAGCCTATTGTTTTATTAAAATTTGGATAGTCTGTTAAATTTTGCTAAAAAGAACATTATTTTGTGTGTTTGGTGTATTAAAAAATAGCTAAATTTGTTGCTAGGTGCTTTTTGAAAAAAAAAAAGTTGCTAGGGTAGACTGAAAAGTTGCTAAATCTAGTAACAAAATTGCTAAGTGGCAACATTGGCTCTGCCTCCAGGGTCATAGGCATGACTTTTTTTTTTTACATAAGAGCTGTGTCCCAATGTGAAGTGCACTGACTCCGAAGTGCACATTTGAAGTGCGATTTCATCACAGCGGCGCGATGAAGGCTGTCCCAAACTGAAGTGCGTTGACTCCGAAGTGCGCATTTGAAGTGCGATTGCGTCACGTCACGACGTAAGCTGTCCCAATTCAGCCTTTGTTGTGTTTTTGTAGTGCTGTCATGCAAGATATGTCTACACGTTTTAACCAAACTTGTGCACTTCAGTATTTTGTATGCATGTCCTGCTGTCATATTTTAATGTAGCACCAATTTTTACATATGTTTAAATATGTTGTACATATTTTCAAAGATTGCACCACTGTCTTAATATTTTTCATACGTTGGAAAAAATGGGTACAATAAAATTTTTCAATATCTTTTTTATGTCACATTGTCAATGAAACATTGCCTAATTTCTGTAGTTTTATTTTTGTGATGTAAATTAAAAACAAAATGGTAAGTTGTATACGTTATTAATTTTTGTAATGTAATTTATTTGTAAATGAGCCTGAGTACTTTCTGTACATTTTGTATTTTTTGTTATGCATATTCACATGTGTAAATAAAAGGGAAGTAATTGATATGTACATTGTTCATTTTTTAAATGCAGCTTACAAATCATTCTTCTATACATTTATTTTTATGTCCTGTAAATACATTTTTTACACATTAAAACAAATGGATCTATACATTACTGAAAGTACTTTTTACAACTATTTACAACATAGCTTAGGTTTAACATCAGTTTTGAGCCCAGCCCTGCCGCCATGTGTTCTGGGGTCTTCAGGAGGTGAATCTCTTGGTGAATGGCCACCACCTCCTCAGCGACTCAGAGACAGTGGAACAAGGCATGTTAAACACTCTGAAGACCACTCTGTATGATGTACCACTGGCAGACAGACGAGAAACACCAGGGTCTGGATTGTTGCACCCCATCACCGTTGACATTCTCTTCTCAGAAATCCAGCAGCTCTGTCAGGGCCTCCCTGCTCAGCCGAAAACTGTTAAAAAACCTGTCCAGCGCTGGCACATTCCACTTTATCCTGCAGCACAGGGGTCTGGTCGGATTTAGGGAAAGAAGGAAAAGATAAATTGTTTAGAGCTATGACAAAGTAATTGGTAGAAGAAATATTGAGGTACTTTTGTTAACTACTTGTAGTAACTACTAATACCACATTGGGGAAAAGTACTAGTCATATTTAAAACCTTAGCTAAGGGGATAGTTCACCCAAAAATGAAAATTCCAAACCAACGGTCGTTTGATCGCGTCCAGTGTAGGCAGACTTTAGCTGTTGTAGACACGGTGTTACTCACCTATTGAGAAGAAACAAAGCAACCTCGGCGTCCGATCGCAGGCCTCCGCTCCTTGAGTTCTCTCCAGCGCTGGAAAGCTGATCCGATATTTACACGGGTCCTACTACTTGCCTTATCGTTCCGCAGACGTTTTTTATCCGCCATCTCTATCTTTCTGTCGCTCGGCTAATGTTTGTCCCATGCACTGAAAGCTCTCTCCTCCACATCACGAGACACGCCCCTTATTGCTGATTGGCTACAAGTTTGTTTTGCTATTCAGCCCGAATCAGTTTTCTAAAGTGTTTTTGAAAAATCACATACCCTGCCTTTAATATGATTATGAAGAGGATGTATAGATTATTAAATTATTTTATTATCTTCCATTGACAGCTTTGTTTTGTAGATGACTGTTGTAAACCTCATTTAATGTCATAGGTTTGCTCTCTTACTGTCCAGAGCAGCAAGGACAAAAAACTTTTTGGGCCATCTTAGAATTGATCTTTTACCTGTCTTGTTCAGATTTGTACATCAACATCATAACACCAAGTACACAGAACACAACATAAAACATGATTTCTGAGATCATTTATGCTGTTGTACATTTGGTATTATTGTAGTGTTCATTACCATGATTTTATACAATATACCATGGTAATTTAACTGCTGTAAATGCAGTGGATATACACCATTTACAGTTTTTCGTGTAACAGGTGCTCCCCTCCCCCACACGAAATATGGTACTATTGACCTACTGGCTGTTTTCTGGCACACCTTCATTGACATTGCATTACAACCTATACAACAAATGGTCTCAACATCTTCAAGTGACAGATTGATTTAATAAAAATCTAGGAAAAAATAAATCTTCCATTGCAGGTGCTTTCCCCCCCACACATGAAGTACAGTACTACTGACCTACTGGCTGTTTTCTGGCACACCTTCATTGACATTGCATTACAACCTATACAACAAATGGTCTCAACATCTTCAAGTGACATTGATTTAATAAAAATCTAGGAAAAAATAAATAAATCAATCAAACATGAGGTGACAAATCTTTTTAATGAAAACTTTCAAGCATGTCACATGTACACTACCTACTACAGCATATTACACACTCTTTGGCTTAAGAGTTGTGACCGATTAAGCCTCGTTTTGCACCCCTCACTTCATTCTTTTAATAAAATAAAAAAATAAAAACATGAAGGAAGGGAATATAGAAGATAAATGTTTTTGAGCGAAGTTAAAAGTTCAAAAGTAGAAATTCTTTAAACATTTTCTTCAAGTAAAAACAAGTCTGCATGTCTCAATGCCCCTTTCCTCTGAGTTTAAGAGAACAAACACATCTGATAAGTTCACACAAACAGTTTTCCCTAAGATAAAAGCAGCTAAAATTACACTGGGAAAAAAAAAAAACAAAGATAGAAAAAGGCATAATGAAATATTACAAACATATAAAACTAAACCTTTTTTTAGAGATTACAGAGAATAGATAATTAAGACTAGTCTGTAAGATCAGTGCTTTACTTCCTCCTGGTGCGTCTGACAGGAGCTGCCTCTGTAGGGTTGTCTACTTCCTCTACTTTTTTCACACTCCTTCCTTTTCGAGTGGTGGTTCCTGTGTGAACACAAAACGTTACCATTACACTCTCAACAGGTGAATAGTACAGCACAGCATGAACACAAACACAAAACAGAAAATCTAATCATTATCACACATTCATGAACATAAAACACAGGTCTAAACTGTATACAGCCAAGGCACTTATCAAGCCCATTAGCTTTTGTGGCACCACATTATTGCATTAATCATCTCCAAACCATGTGAGCTCACAGCAGCAAAATGTTTAGTACATTATTTGAAGGCTATTACCAGCAAGACTGATGTGACAAATTCACTGAACGATATGGCTACATCTGAAAAGAACCTTATCCACAATCCTAAACAAATTACTTTATAGTCCCATGTTGCACAGGTTCATTGAACACCCACTTCTTACTAAACCCCAATGTAAAGTTCTTGAACCATTCAGGAATTCATTTACAGTATGCTTACCTAAAACAGACTCTTGAGCCTTGGCAGGTGCTGGATCTGGTTCCTGGGCTGTCCTTTTCTGTCCGCTTGCAGCTCTATTACCAGTTTTCTTGGGAGTAGGCTCAGCCTTTTCTGGTTCAGCTTCAAATGTTTTCTCTTTGCTGGAGACCTCTGCTGCAACTTCAGCGCTGTTGGCTACTCTGCCTCTTCTCTTTGGCAAAGGTTCCTTATTTACAGACTCATCCGTTACCTCAATCACCTCATTCCTTTTCCTTTTGAGGGGAGTTGTTGTCTTGCTATCAGTGGGCTCTGATTTGGGCGCAGAGGGAGCCACTGCCTTTCCTCTCCTCAATGGCTTGACATGTACCTGAGCTGCTTCTTGAGAGTCTTCAACGGGAGGTTCTTCTTTTTTCGCTCCCCTCCCTCTGCGGCCTCTGGGTGGCAGATCAGCTGATTGATTTGATTCTGTGGAGGTTGTCTCAGCTGGTAATTTGCCTAATCTTTTGGATTTATTCAGCTGTGGTTCTTTTACATTTGTAGAAGTTTCAATATCTTTACAGATGACCAAATCTGGGGTCCAGTTAACAGTTTTTGAGGGTTTAATTTCATTAGCTTCCTCAACTGTAGCAGATTTTTTGATTGGGTTTTTAGAGATGTCCTTAGTTGAATCCTTCTGTTTTTTGCCACGGCTTCCTCTTTCCACTTTCTCCAGTGCAACAACTGTTGTATTCTCAACAGCAACAAATTCAGAATCTCCTTGTGTCATGGTATTTTCTTCTTTCTTTGATTCAGGTGCTTTTGCTGTTCTCCTGGTATGTTTAACAGGCTCTTCTGATGAAGCCACATCCTCGGTAACCTCAGACTCTGCCTTGGCAACTGCTTTACGTGCACGGCTAGATATCACAGCAACTGGTGGTGCAGGGTCTGCAACAGCACGGCTACCTCTTTTGACAGAAACATCTGCAACCATTTCAGGTTCCTTTGCAATAACGGCCCTTTTTCGACCAGATTTCACAACATGGGTCTCTGCTTGTTCAACTGGGCTGACAATGTTCTCCTCAACTGAAACCGTCACCTTTGACTGCTTTGCCTTCCTATTCCCCCTCACAGATTTTACCGCTGTTTCAGTGTGTTCTTCAGTCACAGGTAAACGTGTGCAGGTATCTATAGCAGGCTGGTCAACAACCTCTTCAGCCATTTGTGGTTTCTGCTGTTTAGCCTTTCTTCCTCTGCCAGACTTGACCACAAGTGTTTGAGGATCCTCTCTGTGGGCAACATCTGCCTCTGACACAGCTTTGGAAACAACAGTGACATCAACATCATCCAAGGGTTGGTCCTTGACAGTTTCTTTTATACCTTTCCTTCCACGCCCTGACTTTGCTACAGATGTCAGTGGCTTCTCAGCCACTACAACAACATGAGTGCTTGTAATTTCGCTTTCCAAAGCAGGGGTTGGCTCGGTTTTCAAGTGTTCCTTCTTTGCTGGCCTAGCCCTCCTAGCTCTAGTTGCAGAGACAGTTTCAGTACCTAGTGAAGTCTGCAACTTGACATCCTCTGGTGCAACAGCATTTTCCTCACAAACAATTTCAGTTGTTTTCTGTTCAAGTTCTTCTGAAGTTTGGCTTTCTATTTTTTCCATCTTCTTTCTTCTCCCAGGTTTCACAACAGGGGCTTGGACCTGCTCTTCATTGGCATCAGGACACTGTGGGTCAACAGCATTTGCATCAACAGTGGGCACAACTACAGCATCAGCATAATCTTGTTTAGTTTTCCTTCCTTTCCTGGTTTTGGTAACGACAGGAAGGCTGTCAGGTATCTCAGTATTTATGGACTCTACAAGTACTTGGGAAGCCTCCGTATTCTTTGCCTCTTCTTCCACAAAGCTGTGCTTGGGAACTCTACCACGGGCTGATTTTCTGACTGGGCTGGCAGCTATTTCTGGAACTTCAAGAAGTTTCTTGCCTCTCCTTCCCCTGGTAGGGCTAGCAGGAATTGGACTACTCATATTTTCCTCTTCAATTAATGACAACACAGCAGGTGCTTTGGCCATTTCATTTTTGGATTTCTGTGCTGCTCTTCCTCGACTGCCACACTGAATTTTGTTGGCAGGTGGAGACTTGATTAGCCCCTCTTGCTCAGCAGTGGATGAAGTTGCGGTAGCTTCAACTGTTGCGTTGGTATTGTCAGATGCGCATACAGTTTCTTCAGACTGCTCCTGGGTTTTCTCATCTGCCCCAGTAGAAAAGACATCAATAGCTTCAACTGAAACTGACTCTTCATTCTGGTCAGGGTGTCTTTCCTGGGGAATTACAGTCTCAACCTCTTGATCACTCTGATTAGATTCAACAGCTTTAGCTGTGTTCTGAAGATCCACAGATTTTACAACTTCAGTCTCCATGGTTTTAAATGGACAGACATTTTCTTTGTCACATTCCTCATCCAAACCTACAAATCAAGACAACTTCATTTAGTAATCCAAGTAGTTAACTATCATAAACTCCTAATTTCCCAAATTTTAGGACTAAGAACAACAAAACAGATGAGAACAAATGTGCATTACGCAGATTTAACTCACCTTCAACTGGCATGAATCCAGAGCCACTTTCCACTGGTTCTTGAATCTAAAGATGAAAAATACAAGGTTTTATTAAATTTTAAGGAAATAAAAACAACTCCCAATTACTTTTAAAACAAAGAATGAAGTCAACCATTACGGAATGTTTAGTGTGTAAGTAAAGCATCTATCCAAAGAAGCTTTACTAATCTACAATGCAAGTAAGCAACATGACAAAACTTTCATTGTCAGCTAAATTATCTACTGAGAAAACATGGTGTGAGTGTTTAATGGGGTAACCTTGCCATTTACCTCAGTAGGCTCAGTCAATCTGCTTTCTGTTGTCAGGGAAGAGCTATTCTCTGGTTCAAGTTCTTTAAGCCCAGTTGAATCCTGTGCCATTGCTTCTTTAAGTCGAGGGGTCTTTCTCAGGTCACTGATTCCAAACTGAGTGCTGACAGGATCTCCTTTTTGCTTGGGAGTCTGCATTACCTGCTTCAATCCAGAGAAGTCTTCTACAGGTTCAACTTTCTCTTTGAGAGTCTGCATCAGCCTTTGTTCACCCATTTGATCTTCAACTGGTTCTCCTTTGTGTTTAGGGGTCTTCATCAGTTCTTTCACACCAGTCAGGTCTTCATGTTGCTCAGCCTTTTCTTTGGGTGTTCTCATAAGCCTCTGAAGACCAGCTGCGCAGAGTACAGGATTGCTCTTCAATTTTGGGGTCTGCATCACTCTTTTCACTCCAACCATGTCTTCTACTGGAGCTCCCCTGTATTTGGGAGTCTTTAGGAGTTCCTTAACACCTTCTAGACTTTCATCCTGGGAAGGTTTACATTCCTTGGGGGTCTTGAGCAGCTTTCCTCTTAAGTCCTCAATTGGTTCGGCCTTCTGTTTGGGTGTCTTCATGAGTCGCTTGACTCCAGTGAGGCACAAGGATGGTGCTGCTTTCTGTTTTGGGGTTTTGACTACTGCTTCAGGTGCAGCCTCCTCTTCCTCCGTTTGTACATCAGAAGGTGTCTCTACATCTGGAATGATGTCATGGCAACTTGCCTCATTTGAGTTGTCAGGGAGCTGAGAAAGACCTTCGTCTTCCAACAAACTACCATCCTGGTTGTCCAGAAGTCGTTGTGTCACTGCTTCATTGTAGCAACCACGTTTGGCAGTGGAGACCACACTTAATGGTGACACCATCATTTCACCTATGTGGGGAAATGAAAAACAACGGCATGAAATCACAGTTATATCAAAACAATACACTGTAGATCACTTGCGACACAAATCTGAAACATTTACCTGATTCTTCTGGTGTTTTCATCACTGAAATCTCATCCAGAGGAATCTCTGGACATTCATTATGCACAGGAACTCTATTCTTAGACCTGGTGTTGGCTGGTGTTTTGAAAATCTCTGCAACACCTAACATTACACATAAATCATAGAACTTGAACTAACAATTTCATCAAACATTAATTGCATACATTGTTTTCTTCAACATTGAACAAACCTGTCAAGTCCTCATCCATTTTCATGTCCTTCTTGAATAGTGCTATGTTTGGCACTATTTTAGGAGCAGCACCAACAGACTGGTTAGTCCTCATATGGGCTTTGCCAACAACAATGGTAACTGGAGATGCTGCATGCCCAGTGCTGACAACATCTTTCAGCCTCCGTGCAGGTGTCTGTATAGGTAAGCAACAGTTAAACACTGTTTGTAATAAAGCCACAAATTAATGAGCCATTCATTGAATAAAACCATTAACAGAAATTTGAACAATTAATCAGAACAAAAACCTTTATTTCGAGACTGATAATATTTTGTATTTTACCTTGGGTTTTGGCACTGCAGTTTTCTTCACTATACTGCTCTTCGTAGTTTTTTTCTTAGTTGTAACTTCCGTTTGAGGTTTGGTCTGACCAAACTTCACAATATCAGCCCAAGAGGTCAACACTTAAAGAAACAAACAAAAAATGTAAATAAATATTTAAGCTGATGAAAGATTTAGTATCATAAACAGGAAAGCATTGGCATAACCAGTTTAAATGTTTCACCTTTTAGATTAGCCCGTGATGCTCCACTGCGTCTTGAACGCATGACATCAAGTGCACTTTTAATTGCACTTATGGGTGTTTTACTTGCAGAAGACTTCATGCTCTTTCTCCTTAAAGGTACCTTTGGTGTTACACATTTCTGGGGCACGTCTTCTACAATGGTTGACTGTGTTTCAGGCTCATCCCCCTGGTCCTGGACAGGTGATGGAGTACTGATACGAGAGATTGAAAACCGCCCCTGCACCCTAGGTGTCTTAGTTAAAGACATGTCACCCACAGCCTCAATCGCTGAAGTTGAAGCTCTCTTAGCAGATGCAGGTGTCCTGGGTGTAGCAGGAGTAGAGGATGATGTTGGTGCCTTGGTTGAAGCAGATGGTGACTTTTGAGGTTTAGGTGATGGAGTTTTAGCCTTGATACTCGGTGACCTTTTACCAGGTGATGGAGTCTTTGCTGGAGATGCTGTCCGTTTGGGTAAAGCTCTCTTTGGAGAACGTTTTTGCGCCTCTGGAAAGGTTTCTTCAAGTCGAAGAGCCTAAAAAAATGAAGGGGAAAAACTGGATTAAAAGCCTTCAGAAGTTTCAAAGATTTAATAGTCCTAAAAAAAGCTGTTTTATGCATTACCAAAAGACCAATGGCAGATGCTCGTCGTAGAAGAGATTGGGGTTTTTGGGAAAGACCCAAACTGTGTCGTGGGGTTGCCCCACGGCAAAGGGGAGAATTTGGAGGCAGGCGTTTGTCAAAAAGCTCGGGGCTTAACAGACCACCAAAGGACACTCGCTTTTTCTTTGCTTTTGGAATGGTTACTTCATTGTGAGATTCATTACCGTCACATAGCTCATCTGTAGAACAAAACAAAAGTATGATGAATAAGACTTAAATAGGCACACATATTTGCAACATTTTTCAAAATGACAAATGGTGGATTCAGAATGCAGACACTTCTAATGTGTTACAAATTCATTCATAAGGAGAAAAACAAGCCATCTCACCTTGCTTCTTAGAAGCTGATGTGGTAGCCGTAATTTTAGGCAGAGCATCTTGGACTTGAAACCTTTTGCCAGCATTTGCTCTTGGAGATGTTCTTGGTGACATTTTCACTTCAGTGTTCTTATCCTCCGAGCCTGGAGTCTGAGGCTGGACTGTAGGCATTTGATGAGCAAGGCTCTGATTCTGTGATCCACTACTTCTCCTTCCTTTTGGCGATTTAGGAGTTTTCTCTTCAGGCTGTGGCTCTAAGAGAATCTGCTGGACTACCTCACCAGCACTGAACTTCTGAGGTGTTTTCAAGGGTGTTCTCTTCTTCTGGGAGAAAGGAGTTATACCTTTCTCCATCAATGAGGGGGTACTGGACCCTACAGATGGCATATCGTCATTGGGTTTTTCCTCCACATTTGCATTCAATGAGCTCTGAGCTGGTACAGTCGTATCTTCAGAATTGGATTTTGAGGATCTTTGCTTCTTGGTAGATGGGGTTGGGACCTGTATCTGACTACTTTTAACATCTGCAGCAAGAACTTTCTCGTGACCAACCTGAGGTCTTGCAAGAGGTGTTTTTGGTAGCTCCGACTTCCATGGTGATTTTGCAGCAAGGTCCTGTTTGACCATTTGGTACAGCTCACAAAAAGGTGACATACTGTCTGTTTTAAGTTTGCCGCCTTCTGGTTCATTCTCAACAGTTTGTTCCACAGATGGTGGCAAATTTGACCCATCTTTTAAACAAGTGTCTGTAAATACAGTACACATGAAAATCATTGATATTAAATCATATTTTAAAAATAATTATTATTATTATTACTATTATTCTACTACTACTACTACCAGGGCTCGACAGTGCGAGCATTTCACTCGCATTTGCGACTAAAAATAGATATGTACAAACTGGAAAATGTATCTAGGAGCATAAGTGCGAATACAATTACAAAATACAAAACAGCCTAACTTACACAGTAGCCTATAACAAATTAATACGTTTCTTCAATTTATGAAAAAAATAGCGATACAGCCTCATATGATTACTGAACTTGAAAAAGGCAACGATTTAATTTAAATTGTCGCATCGCGTGTAGTTAGGACACAGTGTATTTTTCTTTCATTTGAACTTAATCTTTTGCACTCTAATCTTGAAACACCTGTTTACTTTATATTTTTGTGTATTTTTTTTTTAAATAAATTCTCTCTTTAGTAAAAGATCTTTAATAAAGTTATTTAACCTGTTAGGAGGACAACACTTTTTTCACTTAGTAATTATATATTGTGATAAAAAAACAAAACAAAACACATACTGTGACAAAAGCTTCAACGACTATTGTGAAAATTTGATACCGTCACATTCCTAATGTAGATACAATTAAATAGGACTATAAATAATTACATAATTAGCCTATTAAATACTCTGAAGCTAAATTATTTAAAAACCTTGTGTACTTTCTGTATTCTTATAAATTTAATAATTGTGCAGGTAAATGTCTCCTTACACCCCCTTATTAAGCTAAAACACATCATTTGAAAAATTTGCATTGCGCCCCTACATTTTTTTAATGCGCTCCTAAATTGTTCAACTTAGGAGCACATGTGCTCCTTGGGAAAAAGGTAAGCGTCAAGCCCTGACTACTACTACTAATATAACAGAAACAAAGAATAAAGCCTCAAATCTCATGATCACTAACCAAACGAATGCTCTGACTTGCTCTTGTCCACAGGAACAGGTGTGCCCTTTTCCTGCTGCTCTTGCAAAGCCTACAGGTAAAAAAGAACCAAAATTCAACAAAGAAAAATGATAAATGAACAAAAAATACCCATCATCTGTCTCGCAAGACTCGCATAAAGTACACACCTGGAGTGCTTTGTCGTTTCCAGGTGTGGACAGCGTCTTCTTCTTCGGTGTTTTAGGAGGTGGGTACTCAAACCTGACATTTTGACAAGAATAAACCACATAAAACAAATTCTACCAAACAAGGATTGTCCAAGACAGATTTTTTTCCAGCATTAAAATTATAGCAAACATCTGACTCACCTGAAAGAACGATCAATGACTGTGATGACATCACCATGCTTTAAACGTTCTGATTGATTAAGAACTTGTCCGTTAATACGTGTGGGGTTCACGGAGCTCAAATTGGTCAAAATTAGCTTAAACAAGAGAGAAAAGTCAATATATGAATAGCATGTCGTGTGTTTATTTGTGGAAAGAAAAAGAAAACAAGACAAATTGAAACTTAGTTTAATAAAACAATATAATTACCTCCTTGTTCTCATTCAGCTCAATTTTACAATGCTCTTTAGACACCTGTGGCAGCTGAATCCGAATATCACAGTCTAGCTTCCTAGAGCAGTAAAAAGAGTCCACATTAAAACTCCTATGCCCATTTGCCTTACTGGTGAATATGAAACATGATACTTGGTGTAAGACATCAAAGACATGAATTTCTCTCACATTTATTGGGTCATTCTAGTTTCGCCACACATTGCTTAAATATACAACATTAATCAGTCAAGAGTACATTAATAATTGGTTGTTCAAGATTTCCTTGTTAAATTGTACACACTAAAACATGCATATTTAATGTCACCATTCACTCGTTCACTCACATCAACAGACAAAATGTTTAAACATTACTTCAGGTTGGCTGAAAGTTGTGATGTCAAAATGAATATTTAAAGGGGTCATATGATGCGATTTCAATTTTTCCTTTCTCTTTGGAGTGTTACAAGCTCTTGGTGCATAAAGAAGATCTGTAAAGTTGCAAACACTAAAGTCTCAAAACCAAAGAGATATTCTTTATAAAAGTTAAGAGTTAACCACGCCTACCTAAAACGGCTCATTCTAACACGCCCCCACATGTCTACATGGATAGCTGGCCAATCACAGCATACCTCGCTTTTTCAGACCGATGAGTTTTGTAAAAATCGACGCGTTTCAAAAAGGCGATAGATAGAGGAGAAACAATAATGTACAGTATGTGGAAAATAATGTGTTTTTTGAACTTTAAACCGCATAAACATTTCATTACACCAAATACACAAAATAATGTTCTTTTTAGCAGCATCATATGACCCCTTTAATAAATAAAAAAACTTTACGATTTTATGATAGATGTAGTTTCACTGATAGGAGTCTTAACACTTTATTGTCCTTTAATATCTTTTTAAGTGTTTAAATTACATTAACAATTGTTGTGTACGTTTCATTGATATCTGGTGCTGTAAAATCGCCTGTTTGTCACAAATATGCATTGAAAAATACTTATAGTAAGACAATTTTCTCAACCAGCCACCATTGGCAACATCTGAGACAACGGACATTTTGCATAACATAACTATAATTTTAATAAACAGATATAGAAGTTATAATCCGAATCGCTACAATGAGCATGAATGCAAATCATTTAGAGTAACGCATTCTGATTGGCTAGAGTGGTTGCCTGCGTCAAATTTGGACATCAATGAAAAGCCCGCCTGGCATCAAACGAGCAGAACAGCGCATGTCCCAAACATTTACAGTTCTTTATCAATTGCAATTAAGAAGATACTTGTAACCAAATGTTAAAGATTTTAAGCAGGTGCACTTCAATTTGACTTGCAGTGATTGTGTGTATGTGCTACAGTAGTAGTCATATACAGTTTATTTGTTTTTCATGCACCTCACTGTATCTACTTGGCAGTATTTTAAGTTAAAACCTAAACAGCCATGTAAGCCATGATTATAAAAAGTGTTACTGACCTTCCGAACAGACAAGATGCTGTGAGGGGGAATTCAGTGCCATCTCCTCCATTTCTCTTGATCACCACTATCTTCCCAAACAAAGGCATTTCAAAACAACTTACCTTGTTTATCAAACACAAAAGACAAAAAAAAAGAACCTCGTGAATGGTGTGAATTTTCATCGACGTAAATGCAATATTTTACTGTAACTTTTCTTTGAAATCTAACTCGAATATCATCCTTGATGTTAAATACAATATACTATAGAAAGAACAATGTCTTAATATTCTGCATTAATGCATAATTTCAACATATATTTCACATTCACAGACACGCGATCAGCACATGGCCAAAGGCATTTAAAACACTACGTAACAGGCAAAAAGCTCAGGTTAAATCCACATTTACTTGTTTTAGTGACCGAGCGGACTCAAATATTGCCAACAATATTTGTGACCACACTCACTGAAAATAATGTTAGCGATTTGTTTTAATTGTAACTAAGTTACGTATCTGTCGATAGCATAGTGTGTCAATAATGTTTGCGCAGTTCCTTTGTATCCTTGAAATGAAAATAACCGAGGATTTACCTGAGATTGTGTAACGTTATATCAAAACTATAAAATATATTCCATCGATGTCAAACCCTGGCTTTTAAAAACCAGCTTAATCCAGCATTAAGATTACTGTCCCGGTCGCTCCTGCCGTTACTAACTCAAACTAACGTTACTACTTCCAAACATCAGCACACTGGGTCCATCGACACAAGCAGCGCGTCTTTCCGTCTTGACTGACGGCATATATCCCTCCGCAAAAAAAAAAAAACAACTACCAGTTATTTGCTCAAATATAATATAAAATCGCATAATGGATGGAGCTAGCTAATTGGAGCCTTGTTCAAAGGTTGATTTAGCGTGTAATGCATTACAAAAATGAAGGACTACTTTCTTTGTCAATCTGCGGAGGGATATAAGACGGATAACTACCAATGTTTGAAAACTATTCAAAATTTCCGCGCGAAGGCTTCTGGTTGGCCAGTAGTAATACTTGCTACTTTTCATAGCCAATAGGATCTTGTGTTGACGTAACGCGACAGAAAAGGTGGCCAATTAAATCACGTTAAATGTGCAATTGCTCTTTTAACCTAGATACGACCCGCCCTAGCCTGATAAGACGGCGGAAGCAGTGAAGCATGATTGCAAAGAAGGAACTAGTAAAACTGTTTATGCGCACAATAAAAGTGATCACACAAAATCACTTAAAGTGTCTTATTGAAAATGCCTTATTGTAGTGTATATTCTAATACAGTACTTAGGTAGTTTCCCTTAATTTATTTTTAATTATTGTATAATTTACAGTAACAAACCCAATATTGTTGTGTACAGCAAGAGTAAAATATATAATACAAATTTATATCAAATAAATTACTTACCTGTACAGTAAAGAATATAAACATGGATAAATTAACATAATACATTACATGAATTCAAAATATACAGAAAAGGCAGCATCAGTATTGATCCTATTGTAATTAGCAATATTATACCTAAACCTATATAGGGATAAGGCGTTATATGGTAAGGTAAAAGGCTTTTTTTTTTAATGTACAGTTAGATATAGGCTAATAGTTTGTAATTGACTCTGTACCTAATTTCACTCCAACATTAATTCTTGGGGCAGAACTTTACAAAGTCCTAGTCTCTGTAATGCATAGTCATAAGATATTTACCTTTATTGATCTAATACGCCGCCTTCAGATTTGTAAACAGAAGAAAACTGAAGAAAAAAATATCTAACTTGATGTTTCTAACTTCTTTTGCCCCTGTATCTGAAATAAAAAAAGAGGCAATGAATGAATACTGATATAACCATCTAAAAAATAACACTATGTTGCACATATTATGCTGGCATTATTCTAAAATAAATCTTATACAATCCTAAAGTGGTTTATTTTGTGACAATATCCAACTGTCTGTATGTTATCATAATTTATATTTGATCATACACTTAAATTACTGTAATTATTTCAGTGTTTAATTTTCTGCTATTGTCATGGAACAAACAATGGTCTTCTCAAATTTGTCAATGAAGTTCCAGATCTCAAAATAAGACTTTATTGAACACAGCAATAAAGCAGAGATGATCAGAATCTGTTCTGTCCAGGCATCAGCTTTTATACCTTATTCTTATCAGCTATTGACCAATGGTATCACAGTTCTGTTGATATCGCTCCTCTGGTTTGCTACCATACATTTTTTTACTTTTCCTGGTATACTTTCTAATAGTGGAATCCTGCTAGTTTGAACCATTTTCCTAATAATTTTTCTCTCTCCCGTCCCACTGGATGCAGGTGTCCTTCTTGGAAGTCACCCAAAGGTCACTGGTTTACTCAAGTTCATCGCTGACCAATGGAAAGCACCCTACTTGCCAATTGGAAAGCACCTAGGACTCACAGTCTGTATTAAGACATCCAATATTAAAACAATCATCATATTGATCAATCTATTGATTATTGTTGTAGCCATAATTTTTTTTTGGAATGAAATATCACAACACTATTAAGCATAAAGCCACTGGATATCCTTGCCATGCCTGAAATGCCATCTTATATAATTTGTTTCTTAGCATTAATTTATGTGCAATGGCGTCTTGGTATGAACTTAAAAACCACATATCACATTTCTGGCTAAACAAGCATAATGTGTAATGAGACTTAATTTTTTTTAATGATTTTATTGTTTGTTTCTTTGTAATCTTGTTCTCATTTGAAAAACAACCATCAAAAATGATCACACTCACTTCTGCACTCCTTGATCATGGTGAATTATGAAAGGTTTTTGACAGTCTACACAAAACATGTTCAAACTCACAGCAATAGCTAATGATGCTTAATGTTCTTAGACATCAGATCTAGCAATACTAGCAAATTAATTTTACTGAAGTAAGTTCAATCATCGGTGATACCATTTTTAACAGTCACAACATGTTTATTAAAGAAACAACCAGTTGTCCTTTTCAGAAACAAGAGAAAGAAATTATTGACAGGTAATGCACGTATTCCCATGAAGCAACCTGAACAGGCTGCAGACACTGTGCAACTGTTCTTAAAGAAAAATTAACCAGGAGAGTATGTGTATTTAGCACCTCAGTATATTTTTGATCTGCAATCAGCATATGCCCTTGTCACATTCATTAGAAAACTGATCTAATATCAACATTATTTCTCTTAAGTCAAAGGGACCCAAGGAAAACATAAGGCATTGAAAACAGCATGTAAACAGGGGCTGGGTGCACAATAGGAACCGTTTTCATGCTTTTTTTGCACACCAGCACTTTTATTCTTCCATCATAGACCATGCTTCCTCTGCTTTCATGTAGTACTGATTGGCCAGTCTGCCCTTCATGGCCTCCATAGCTGCATCAGCAGCCTCAGTGAAAAGATCACCTACAAAATTTAAAGACATCATAACTCACACATGCATACAATTCCAATTTAAAATGTTACAACAAATTCAGGACACATTTAGAAAGCAAAACTGCCCATTTTAATTATATGATATTGTAAAGGAGCTAAGTATCCCTATAGTAACTTGTGTGTGTCATTTCAAGAAAACGACCATACTGTACATCTGCGCTGTTTTATTTTTTCTTTTAAGTTTTTATTATACTAATTATTTTAAAAGTCACAGGACAATGTTATGAAGCATTAACTTTCCATTGCTTTTGCTTTGGTATAATAACACTTACTGATTTGTGCTGGGCAGATAAAGTACAGGGTGAATTCAAAGCATTAAAACATGCGCAACTTAAATTATTCAATAAACCCCACTCATTTTAAAGCATCACTTCGTCTCCTGCTCCCTGCTATTTCACAGCTTCCTCTGTCAAACTCTCAGGCTGATAAGACAGTTTTGAATACCAGACAAAATGGATGTCCTCTGACGGGATCTGGTAAAGACACTGCATCCAATAATCCTGGCATGGAGACTCGATCTAATATTTTTGGTCAGCAGTATATCGGCACGATCTTAACATTATATTGTATTGTTGTAACACTTTCCAATGTTAAATCTTAAGTTCTGCAGAAGAATGACTGTGCTTTAGAGCATGAGCAGGGGCGTATTAATGCACAGGCTTCTATGAGATGAAGCCCAGGGGCCTACTGGCTGCACAACAAATTAAATTTTTAAATATTTTTTTTTGCATATCAAAAACAGCATTCTATAACTAAACTCACACCCGTAAATTTTTAGGCCTAACAACTGCATTTTCGGTGAAGCCCTGCGGTGTGAACGGAACCTGACAGCACAACTAGTTATGTCATACAGTGTATAATGTCATGTAATGTCATACAGTGTGAGAATGCGGGTTTGATAACTTACAATGGCATGGATAGAAACTGTGCCATCTGAAGGTCCAATACTGTCTTCCATCGGAGCGGTTTCAATGAGTTTTGTGGTCTGCGCGCAACTTAAATACTCTGCTCTCACTCCGGTATTAAAGCTGCTGTCAGTTAATTTTGAGGATGAAATTGAGCATCAAATTTTTTCGTTTCAAATGTAATAAGACCGTTTTATTTTAGTCACTGTCACAGTGGTTACAGCTGATATATCCTATTGCACATTCATAGATGCTATTGCAAGTGGTGGGGTGAACAGGATATTTCGACACAAATTCTCAAATGTTTCTCAAAACTGGCCTTGGTTAAAAACAAACATACAAACAAAAACTAAAGTCTAGCCAAAATTGGATTTTACTGATGTTATCATGGACTTTTCAAATAGAAAAACAATGCCGATAAGTTTCTAAAGTAATGTCACTTGAATTTATTCATACATATGCATTAATTAAAATCTGTATGTAATGACTACATGATACAATGCCTAGTGATATTTTCATTCGGGCTGGTGGGGGTATGCGTACGCTAGCATATGCATACAGCCGAACACGTAGTATACTTCATTTAATGTTGTGCGCGAACGCGGGCGGTCCACACATGCGCTTTAGAAAACTTCATCCATGCTCAATGTCTGCTCTATTTTTCCCTGTTAAGTTATGACCAATAACAAATATTTTTGAACTCTTTTAAACCAAAGCTGAACTGTCTCATACCCTCTCACTCACAAGCGCTTGTGAATCCGAGCATCTGTTGTTGTTGCAGTCTCTGCTATTTTGATGTTGCTGTTCAGCCTCTTTAGTTTCTTTTTCTACTTTTCCACAATGGCCCAGGACAGTGTTGCCACCTTGTGGAACAACTGATTAGTGCAAAACAAATTCAATGCACATGTGCAACCTGCGCGTAAAAAGTATGCACAGTTACAATAATCGGGTGGTGCGTGTACAGTACGCGCATACTGTTCTGATGACAAAATTCGCGTCACGTGCACTTTACACTGACCCTCGCGTACGCGTACAAAGTGACGTATACTTTGGGCTTAATGCTGTAGCCCACAGGTCTCTGGTTATCTAAAGGTGTCCCTGAGCATGATATACACTCACCTGCTCTTTGGGGGTCTGCATCCAAGTTGTGCCCTCCCTCCTGGTACATCTCAGCCAATCGTGCCAACAGAAGGTAGCGCGGCTCATCTTTTATCCCATCAAACTCTCCCCCCTCGTCGTAGTCTGTCATCTTAAGGGCAAAGTCATACCAGTGCATGGCGTGTTTCCAGTCTATAACCCTGCATTTTAAAAGTCCAAAATTAAAGTTTCAGCCCTAAACACATCTTGGTCCAAAAAGACAAAAAACTGATCAATGCGTTTCTCGCCTGTCAGAAGGGAGGTTCAAACCAGTGTCGAATGCTCGTGCTACTAGAATCATACTCGGCCGGTCTCCTGCCTCAGCGGCCTTCAGCAGAAAGCGGAAACCCTTCTTGCTGTTTTCCTCAGATGCCTGAGATGAAAGAACACAGACATGACAGAGGAAGTATAAGCATGGCCATCAAAACAAGATGATTAGGAAAAGAAAGCACCTCTAATTCGATCTCTGGTAGAATGTGATGTGGCAGCTGAAGGTAACATTGGCCAAGGGCAACTATAGCCTCAAGCTCCCCACACATGGCAGCCCTTTCCAAATGGTACATTGCAGAAATCTGGTCCCATGGTGCATCCTTCTCACAAAAGCGCCCGGCCTCGTGGTAGCGAACCATGGCTAGATGTACCTTAAAGGAAAAGTCCACACGAAAATGAAAATTTTGTCTGCTTGATTCATATGGATTAGTTTTACGCGCCCTTTGAGATATTTTTGGATCTTTAAAGTTTTGGTTGCATGGACTTTGATTGGAGGGACAGTAACCTCTCAATTTTAAAATATCCTAATCTGTGTTTCGAAGACGTCTTATGGGTTTGAAATGACATGAGGGTCAGTAAACAATGACACTATTTTAATTTTTGGTTGACTTAACCAAGGAATAATGTATGATAATATAATGTTTATATTATGTAATATTTGTCAGTTAGTTTCAAGAACAGGTTTATAAAACACATGGCACAGTTTCTTACCTTGCCTAGGATGGATTTACCAATTTTCTTTTCGAGAATCATAGTGTTAAGTCTCTCTACTTCCATTGCCACACAGGAAGGTCTGTGTATGTGGGAGCGAGATGAATGGTAAAAACTCAATTTTTCTTCTGTCAGCTGAGAAAAAAAGTATATCATTAAGCACCCAGAGTAATAACTGAGGCAAAAAATTACAACATCATTGACTTGTCCCATGTCAAAAACTCAACTAGGCCTTATGTCCATACTTTTTTATTTATATGTCCATACTTTTTTTTTTTTTACTTTTTTGGCCAAGACCAAGCAATGCATATAGTTGGTATATAGCTTACAATATTGGTCTGTTGTGTTATCAGTGGATAGCTGATCTGTGAATTGTTCTTTTATTGTCAATGAAAACAGTTTGTCATTTGAAAAACTGCTTTTATATGTAACTAATCTCTTGTTTGTTTGTTTTTTAAATATAAAACATTTCTATGAGAAGCAGTAGAACTAACATCTGTGAGGAAAACCACAAAAATAACCACATCAAATATTGCTGCACAAAAAAAAAGCAATGCATGCAGGAAATCACATGCAGGGTTCCCACACATTTTGACTAAAGGACTTCCATGACTTCTCTAGTCATTCATGATGATTAGGAATTTTCACTCACAAACAGCAATTGCTAATCAATTACAAATATATCTAAGCACAACTACAGAAAGCTTTACATGCCATTCAAAATCTCAGCTTTAAAATTCCCTGACATTAACAGGTTTTCCATGACTGTGGGAACCCTGCATATGGGTTTACACTACAGTATGGGAAAGGAGAGCTTGCCACTGGTTAAAGGATGAAAGTGAGATGAGATAAAGGTTAGAGTTTAGATGAAAGAAGAATGAGATGAAAAGATTAAGAGGTTTAGATAACAGGTGGATCACAGGAGGGCACCACTCTAAATCAATGATCTATGAGAAGAAAACAGATTAGAAATCAATGGGTGTTGGGTGACTATCATGATAAGATACAGTGAGTTTATCAATGGTTTCGTAGTTACCCGACGAACACTGTCCTCATCCGATTCTGAGCAATGTCTGTTGTAGAAGGGACGTCCCTAAACGATGATGTAAAAACCTACCATCACATATCTCAGGAGCCCAAAAATGATTACTGCTGCATTTCATGGTGCGTTTAAGCACAGCACACAACAAGTTTATAATGCACTCTAACAGAAAGGAAACTTTGCTGGGGGAGTAGCAAAGAAAACAAGCAAGAATAGCTTCTTATTTCAATTTCTTATTTAAATGCAACAGTTGTAAATTCTTAGTTTAGTTTAAAATGTTCTGTATTTGTTTGGATTTAATGTTGACACCCTCAAAGAAATGGCTCAATCATCAAAAACCCTCACTGTTTTTGTGGCAGATACAAATAATGTTGTGATTAATTTAATATAATATAATATAAACATCATTTTAATATCATTTTTAATTTGCATTGTCTAGCCAGCTGATAATCTGTACCTGACTGTGATGCTCGACTGAGTCTCCTTCACTGCGTTTCTCACTGGGGTAACCACTGTCTCCTCCATTCTCTGAGTCCTGCGAATGCAATTACAGTTCACAATACAAATTAGCATTGCTGCTAAAATTAACTTAAACATTTTTCCATAAAACATCACTGAATTTAACGTCACTCTTATTGGTGCATATATATTCTTCTTCATAAACTGACCTTGTGATCTGTGTTAGCTCGATGTGCCTCATTCATTTCATACATGAATGACCAGCCTGTAAACACACATAGATAGAAAGACATAGTAGTGGTGACATGAATAAAATGAATGTTCAATTGTCCAAAAAAAATAAAATGCAGTGTGAAATCTGTATGAACCTGACATACAAGAACAAACTTTACATGTCATCTAGAATGGCCTGACTGCTGACAGGAGTGAGGATAAAATTAAAAAATAAAATATGTTGAGGTTGGTTTCATTTGTACATATGAATAGAAAAAAAAAAAATGTCTTAAAGAATCCTATGTGTTTTAATTTAACAGAATATGTAGTACTAGCAATCAGGTTGCTGTTGATATTAATTGCTTGAACACTTTTGTTAATGCTGTTTCGAATCATAATACTAAATATGATACCAATATTTCATACCAAGCAACATGACAGTTTTCATATTTCAAACTAGTATATACTCCAGTATACAGCCTTATACATGTAAGTTAGGATGTGTGTGCTTATAATACTAATCAAAATAATAAAAGGTTGGTGCACACTGGCTCAGTTTACCTAGCAACTTCAACACCAGCTAATTAATATTCATGAAGTAAGCTATAGATACCATCAGCAGTGCGCCATACTCTAGGCAGGAACATAATTAAGCATTAGGGAAAACAAACCCTTAACACCATAGTTACCTTTCTATGAGGAAATTTAAATGTGGCTATATTTAGATAAGTCACAGTGCTGCAGACATATATGTTTCCAAAAGGATGGTTCACCATTTTTGCTTCATAAGTGTCAAAGAACACACAAACCTTTAAAGGGATAGTTCACCCAAAAATGAAAATGTTATGTTTATCTGCTTACCCCCAGGGCATCCAAGATGTAGGTGACTTTGTTTCTTCAGTAGAACACAAACAAAGATTTTTAACTCAAACCGTTGCAGTCTGTCAGACATATAATGGAAGTGAATGGGAATCACTGTTTTGAGAGTCAACTTGGATGCCCTGGGGGTAAGCAGATAAACATAACATTTTCATTTTTGGGTGAACTATCCCTTTAAGCATTTTGACATCTGTCTAAAAATAGCCAAATGCATTGAATATTTATCTGTTTTCCCAATGAAAAGAACTGATCATTTTAGTAACATCACAACCAGCCAGTCAAAGGCCCACTTGAGTTCTCGGCCAGCTGACAAGTGGAGGGACTTCTTGTACTTTATTGTACAAATATTTATATTTGAAAAAGTGTTTCCAGATGGTTGCAACATCCTGACAGCTGATAGACCCTAAAAAAAGATTCATTCATTGTTTTGTCTTTTCTCTTAAGTAGAGGGAAACTGTAACACATTGATATTACCATAGACAGTAATGTGGAGGAGGAGATAGATAACTATTAATAACATTAGCTAGATCTGCTATGATACCAAAATGTATAATACCATTGTTGTACTGCTCACGACTTGATCTGACTTGGCCTTAAAGGGGGTTTGATATTACTTAGGTGGGCCACTCGGGTGCATTCACACATAGTACCGGGTTAGTATAGTATTACCCATGGGTGATCGGCCTGCAGAGATGCCCATACTAAGTGGAGAACAGGGAACCGAGTCTGTGTCACTGCTTTCATCAACCGAGAAAGTCTCAGAGAGCCGTGAGAGGAGAACAGGCATGTGGCCGAGAGAGGTCGTCCGGACCCTGGGCGAACCACAATGCTCTTCACATCCACGGAGGACAGTCTGAGCTGACAGCTGCTTAGAAAAAAGAATTTATTTAGAAAGCCTGCAGAAATGAAACCGTTGCAACAGTTTGTGAATGCAGGGCTAAGCGATAATAATTTTATTATGCTGGCCGAATCAGGTCCAGTGATATTTTCACTGGCCACATCAAAAAGCAAAACAAAACATATATTTAAATTAACTATCAGAACCAAATTATAATATTTCAGTATAGCTTTTTTTTGTGAACCATAAAAAAATGGTGCATATATCGGCAACAAATGTACTGCAGGATGACATATTTTTGTACGCCAAATCCCAGAAACAAGTTAGCATTTTAGCACTTCCAGTTCCTACGTCCTGAAGTGAAATGGTTTTTTTAAATGGGTTTTTAGGTAAATTTCTTTGGGTAAATTCTTTGAGTTTTTATTCGACAACATACAATAAATTAGTAATAACCGTTTTCAAAGTAATACAATATTTTACTTGTCTTGAAAAAGGTGGTTGCTAACAAGTGTCTAATTGGGAATACAGAGGTTGTCTGGTGCATTAAACATCATGATGCTGAACAGGTAAACTCATCTCTGCTGCACTCTATATAAATATAGCAATGTCCCTATTGAGCAGCTCCATTAACTGGCCCAAATCTCTCACACTAGCCCCAGGCCATCCTAACTTCGAGCCCTGGTTACACTTACATAAGAATGTTTTTTTATTATCCAATACAAACCAGCAATTTGTTGGTGCAGTCCAATTGTGCAGTTTCAGAAGGGGACAGGTCAAAGCGAGTGAGGCCCATACTCCTACAGATCTTATTACACAGGTGAGAGTGGAAGAAAAGAGCCATGCCACGCAAACCTGAAACACAAACACACAGACAATCATTACAAATGTTCCTCATGCATACATTAGTCAACTTTAAGACAAATCAAATTCTTCTAAGGAGAAAAATAATGCAGGATGTTGATAAATACCTAGGTTGCCATCTCCAAAGTCAGTCCCCTTCTCAGTGTGGATCTGAGGGTCTGTGTAAAGGTCCCCAACACCCTGAATGTCCACCACTATCAGCTGGTGTCCAGAGCGCTCAAATGTGAAATGACTGAATGCCTAAAGCCACAAAAACATAATTGCCAATAAATAATCACACATCATCTGACTGGGACAACAGATTCAGATTTGTTTCATCTTTGACAATACACCTGGGGTGTAAGCCGTATGTTATCGTCCCTCACAAAACCAGAGTTGGAATTGTACTTTGTGTACTTCCCCTCAATGTAGTGTTCCAGGTGAAATAAAGGGCTCCCAGGGCGACCAGTCATTTCCACAACGCACATCTGCATGATGTCAACCTAATAATGATGGGATACATTAAATAAGTACATAATTCTTATCTGGTGTGATTGTTCGAACCAGGTTTGAGTGGTCAAACCTAGTTTACACCAAAATTGTCAATGTTTTTTGAACAAACAACATCCATCAAAGAAGTACCTGTTTAGGAGGCCTGTGGCGATTGAACTCCTCGCCCCATAATTTAGCCTCCATTTGTAACCTCACATCCTCAAAGTAAACATCTCTGTCCACGGTCTCCATGTATCTCTTAGCCACATAGTTTGAGGCTGATTTCCAGTTGCTGCTGTGGGAAAAGTTTGACAACTTCTTCCTGTGATCGAAAGGGAATCGAAAGCTCCAGATCAACAAAAACCCATTTCAAAACACATAATGAGAGATTGAGAGAAGTAAAATTATTACTTGAATAATGGAAGATATACCACTAAGAAATGGACGTACCAACTAAAAGGGATGTTTATTTTATAAAGTATATCAAATATTTTTAATACAATGTTGTTAGGCTGGTTAATGTGGTGAAAATAACTTCAGAAGTAGTGTCAGTAATGTCCTGCAGCATGACAAGTAAACCCATTCTACACAATAGTTTTCCTAATACTTTTAATATTATAAAGTGCAGTTTTTGACTTTTAACAAAAAGGTGAATAAAAACTGAAACAAACTTGACTACATTGACAAGAAATTGTACAATTTTGCTTTATAAACATTAATACTCATTACCTATTTTAGGCTATATATGTTTAAACTGGCTTGACTTACGATCTATAGCATTCCCTCATGGCTCCTTTTCCAAATGACTGTGAAAGAAATACAAATTAATTAATTTAAAAAATATGTAAATAATCAGCATTAATACATTTATGTATGTGTTACTATCACAGAAAACAAGTGTATTGTATTGCCAAGATACCTGAGAGGAAACCTTGATAAATATTTCATCTTTTGCCCATTCACCAGTAACCGCATTGTATCTAAAGAACAAGAACACATGTTTACACTTTTATCACTTTAAATATAGCTTTCTATTCCCTTTCATTCTCAGGAAATAGTTATCAATCTACGGCAACTGGAAATCAATCTCAAACTATGTGGCTACATGGAGATGTAAACATAACAAATGTAAACGCATTTTACCCTAAAAAATGTATCTTCTACATTATGAAGATAATATTCACAGAAAATATACAAAATTGACTATTGTTTTTCATTGGACAGTTAAAGGTGCAATAGGAGATCTTGGAAAATGCTAACTTTAGCCTGATAGCACTGAAAGCGAACGTCCCACCCTCCCTGCAATCGCCGTCCAAAGCCACGCCCCCTGAACGCATTTACGCTCACAGACCAGAGACAACATTACTACAATAGGCTACATAAGCAGTTCCCCATTTCAGCCCATGTTCCGCAGTGAAGTAAACTTCAACGGATTTCCCCCGCTCAGGGAGTAGGGAGCAATGAACACTGTGTAGGGATCATATTGATAGTCCATATTGACAGTCCATGCACATAGCTCACTTCTAACGAGCTGGCGCGAGGACTGGATTAACCGCTGGGCTACATCATGTGTCATTCACCGGTGAGAAATCTTTAAAAGTACTACAATACCAGGAAGGAAAATCGGATTGTTGATGTTTGTCTGCCATTCTCGCTCTGTCTACACAGCGTGCGTGAACGCGCTGATGACGTATCCTGTCTGCGCAAACCGGGTGCGCAGAGGTATGCTAATACATACGTTGACAGACAGGTAGGAAAGCATACTAAAACGCTCGGACCGAGCGATTATTTCCAGTATGTAACGCAAGTACTTTATACGTAAATGTAATTAAATTACCTAAAAATGAACAGTAATCACTTTACTTTTTCAGTGGATAAGTAATTTAATTACAGTAACACGTTACACCCAACACTGGTTGTATCTATAGCGAGTGTTTCATAACGGATGCTCATGTGTTTTGGAGAAGTTTGTGAGGATCAGTGGTGTTTATGTACATATGGGCATCAGACACTCCAAACCCAGAATGTGTTCTTACAGAGGAACGTATTCACTGATGACGTCGAGGTGCCTTCAGATCGCTGAGTTTCCATACATTCAGAATGGTTTTACTTTTCATTTGTATTTTGGTGTGTTTAGTGATACTGAATGGATCCGTAGTAGTTTATATGCAGTCCTTTGGTGTCTCCCTGTGGTCTTGTTTGGTATGGCAGGTTGACTTGTACATATTTGCTAAAATTACTATTTAATTGAGCTTTACATACTTTTAAGTTGTATAGAATATCTGTAGTGACATTTTTGCAAAGTATGTTTGCAAAAAGAACACAGGATGTTTAAATCTATCTTTAATTTGTTTTGTTTAAATGGGTCATATGATGCGATTTCAAGTTTTCCTTTCTCTTTGGAATGTTACAAGCTGTTCGTGAATAGATAAGTCCCTAAAGTTGCAAAGACTAAAGTCTCAAACCCAAAGAGATATTCTTTATAAAAGTTAAGACTCGTCCATGCCCCCCTAAAACGTCTACGTCACTGTGTGGGAAGATTTGCATAACACCGCCCAAATGTTATAAAGCTAAATTTTAGTTCTACAGCTCTACACACAACACCACAGTTTTGGGCATGAGGACGGGCATTTTTCATGTTGTCCACATTAACAAATTTAAATGGGTTATATGATGCGATTTCAATTTTTCCTTTCTCTTTGGAGTGTTACAAGCTCTTGGTGCATAAAGAAGATCCCTAAAGTTGCAAAGACTAAAGTCTCAAACCCAAAGAGATATTCTTTATAAAAGTTAAGACTCGTCCATGCCCCCCTAAAACGTCTACGTCACTGTGTGGGAAGATTTGCATAACACCGCCCAAATGTTCACGCAAAGAAAGAAGGTGTAACTTTGATTTTCGCTGTAGTATTGTTGCCGCCGCCGTCATGTCGTGGAGATGCTGTGTTTCGTTATGAAAGCAAAACTACTTAGTTTGGCCTTCCAAAAGAGGACACAACTAGAAATCATTGGTTAAGTTGTATTTACAACACTGTTCCAGAACAGTTCAACCCAAATATTCAGATGTGTGCAGCGCATTTTACGGAGGACT